AGGGGCAGAGGGAGAGAGAAAATCCTGAGGCAGACGCCCCACCGAGCGTGGAGCCCGATGTGGGGCCCGACCTCAGGACCCTGAGGCCATGACCTGAGCTGAAACCGAGGGTCAATCGCTCAACTGAGTCACCCAGGAGCCCCAGAGATTTACTTTAAAGCCTGGGAAATATTCAGCTTGTATCAGAAAGTCACTTTGCTAACTGAAAAGACTCAGACTGTCGGAAGGCATTTAGTGGGGCGCGAGCGTGAGCGTGACGGTGAGTGCCGTGTGCGTGTGTGTGCAGAGCCGCAGGCCTGTGCGTGTCTGTAAGGGTCCTCCGAGCTGTGTGCCCTGCCTCATCTCCCACTTTCCGAGTTCAGGTGGCTTCCGGGGGCCGCTGGGTCTGGCGAGGAGGTGCAGGGCGGGCGGGGGCCAGGGATGGGGGGCCGGGCCCTGGACCCGAGCACCGGGCGAGTGGTGCAGGGCGGCTGGCGACCTGCTTCCCAGCAAGAGCCCCGAGTGTCCACCTGTCAGCTCAGCCCCCGGAGAGGGCGACGGCGACTGTCACCCTGGCGGCTCGCTCTTGCTCTTCTGTTCCCACTTCCTAGAGGAACTAAATCCAACAATCTCGCTCGGGGGCCGTTCCCGTTCTAGGAGAAAACGATCGCGCTTTCCCAGAGCCTTCCAGCCTCTATTTGACAGCTCCTGTTGAATTTTCAACGGCTATATGGCCATAGTTCTAGAAAGATGGAGTTCTGTATACCCTATGTTGGCAAATCGAACCTCAGTAAAAAGATAATATATCGAAAAAAAGATGAAGAATTCGATATGAAGGGTGAATTGATCCATTTTCTGACTTAACAAAGTCTCCTTTTCGATGTGCAACATTGCCTTCATGAGTTCAGCTTTTCTTTTTCACCTACTGCTGGGAAATACTCTTATATGAAGGTTTTCTTGTCCTAACGGGGTCCTGTTACTTTTTATAGATTTCATATTATTTTGAGTTTTAATATTATAATCTTCTTTCTAATTTTACCCTTCTCTGAGCCAGCTTTGCTCCATTGATTTATTTTTTTTAAATGAGAGGTAAGATAAACGAAAAACACTTAAAAAAAATGGGAAATGTTAACTGAAAATATAAGCTCAAAGGACACAGACATATTTTGGTTCAAATAAATTGCACCCCGTTAACTAAATCTTGGCCCGACAAAACTAAACATCAGAGTGCTTGACATTCATGCACAGCTTTTACAAATTATAGTTAAAGAATTATTTTTTAATGGTTATGTTAAAAAGAATTTGACCGGATATCAGGGAAAACCATGACCAATCTGATTTTTAAAGTGAGTCCAATGTGTGTGAGCAGACTCCCATTTCAGGGCCTTTTCCTCTGTAGCTCCCAGGGGACCAGGAAGACCTGACAGCGGTAGACCAGCAGCCTAAACGACACCTGGCCTCTTTCCAAACCTTATTTACTCAGAACAGTGATCTTAAGGAATTATCCATGACCTTTTATTGGATTTGTTGGGCTGTTATAGGGACGGCAGCCAGGCATGGCCGATTTCTTTTCCTAAAAGCCAGAATGCTCCTTCTCTCCTCCTAATGTTGTGTCTCTGTTATCACAAGGGAGGCATAGTCCCCTCCACTCCCTCGGGGCCCCGTGTGGGCTGCTGGCTAGTTCCAGGGGCCCCGTCACTGCGCCCAAGCAGAGACTTCTGGGCAGAGTCCCGAGCAGATGTGCAGCCCCTGCCACTGTCCTGCAATTTCTGCGTCTTTAAAATTTTCATCTGTCTTGGAAAATGAGACTAAAGAGAAGCAAAGGAGGAAATCCCTCTTCTTTGATTCTACTGCTTTCAATCTGTCTTTTCATTCTTTGTGTCACTCTAAACCCTCCTGGGAGGGTGGCTTTCGCTCGTCTACTTGTACGACACAGATGCTCTTCTTAAATGGTTTCCATTCCATGCTTCTGTGTAAATGACTCCATGGAATGTCATCTGTGCTCCTAATCACCAAATCCAACAGCTTCTCTTGAATCTTTCCTTTTAATTCATCTGTGCATGTGTTGTTGTTCACCTTGTCCTGGATGGAATGCTTCTCACTTAATTACAGCGATGCTTGATGACCCTCAATCTCTGACAATCCCTCCATTTTTTTGTGGGTTCTTTATTCCTTCTTTCCTTGCACTTATGGACAGTCTCCCATCATGTATCTTTCCTCACACTGAAATGGATTTATTCATTCAATCCCAGTATCATGAAAGGGGACATCTCTTAAGGGCAAAAAAAATATTCTTTTGGAGGAAGCGCCTGGGTAGCTCAGTTGGTTAAGCGTGTGCCCTCGGCTCAGCTCATGACCCCAGAGTCCTGGAATCGAGTCTGGCGTCAGGCTCTTTGCTCAGTGAAGAGTTTTCTTCTCCCTCTCCCCGCTTGAACTTTCTCTCTCATTCTCTGTCTCTCAAATAAATAATTAATTAATCAAAATAAATAAATAAATAGATAGATAAATAAATAAATAAACAAAAAAAATTCAGGAAGAAAGGGAAATTATTGACCTGAAAAACACGTAGAATTCAACTACGTAATTAATAAATCATGGGGAAAAAAAACAGGGTTACTTACTAAATTAATGGGCAGCACATCCAGAATGGATTAATAAGTGAAAGTCATGTGTTTAGAGGATTAACTTATCCTTTTGCCGTTGACACAAATTATCCCTTAATTTCATTGTGATAGAAAAATAATGGCTTATATGAATTATGGGTATGATCCAGTATGGTAATTATTTCCTCCTTTACAAAGAGTCTAACTTCTGTTCACATTATTAATAAAACTTTATAGTTCCTTCCTTGAACAGAGTGCAACTCAAATGATGCTTGATTTACAACACTTCTGCATGAGGAGTAACCCTACATGTGTCAGTATTATTACGCAGATCAGGTTTGGACTTCTGTGATGGAAAACAACCAAAGTAAAATCACAGAATTCTGTGCCATATCCACGACAGCATTGTCTCAAAAACATGTTGACATAGAAGGAAACAAAATATCAGGGAAAACTCAGGGTGTTGAGACAATTGTCTAACCAATGAAAATATAATTGGTTTGATGCAAAAGTCCACCCTGTTTTCAAGGATGAAATATATTTACAAGTTGTAAGCACACTTAATTATAGTTAATTAGCAGAATATTCTATGAGGCCTCATGTTTTTTCAAATTTTTTGGACTTACGTTCCTGTGAATGAGTTTAAATGACGTGAAAGCAGGCATTTTTTTTTTTTAAATTTCGTATCTCAGACAATAAGTTACTCGTGACTTATACATATTTCAACAAAGACTCATCCATGTTTCTTTTTAAGGTGACATGATAGTTTTATATATACAGTATCGAAGTCCTTCACAGACTTTGCCAAGAAACTAATTTTAAATATAATATATATTTTTGAGTAATTATGGCATATCATTGGTTCACAAACATTACTATGGAATTGAAATCACCTGGAAGGTTTATTAAACAGATTGTATGACAAACTCAATAAACCTGCAGAGGCCTGAGAACTTGCATTGCTAACAGGTTCCCGTGTGATGCTGATCCTGCTTGTCCCATGACCATGCTTTAAAAGGACAGAAATCAAGTCGTTTATAAAAATTCTGAGAATTCCTTCCAAATTTCAGGTGACTCGTAAAAAAAATTATTCACCTACATCCAAGTTAAAATAAACCTTTTTTCATTAGTTACTAACACAAAATAGTTTTATGTTATTAACTTTTCAAGTAATTAAATTTAGAATTCACAAGTACACTGGCTGCCAAAAAGTCTCCCGTACTTAATTTCATTTTGGCATAAAAAATAATATTTTATGTGAAATAAAATAATTTAAAAACTACAGGTGGAAAAAACCCTGCAGGTGAAACTTTCAAACTATCCACACTTGAACTTACATGTGCCATTGTAAGATTTTGATGTAAGATTCACTGGGATTCTGAAAAGTCCTAAACGGTGTGTCATGGAAGGCTTTTCACGTTAAATATAAGAATACAGATGAGTGAACAAATTGCCAGTGATTAGATGACACGTGGAGTTTTATTACAGTTTTTGGTTAATGTTATTAAAATATTTCCTACTTTATTAAAACTTAGTTTCTCATCATGTAAATACCTCAATACTTCAACATATTTCTACTACTGATTGATGAGCTCCAAGGACATTTTTGATTCTGCGGTTATGAACTGCTTAAATGTTATGTGCTTAATTTTGAGGGAAAAAGAACTGAACAATGACACAAACACCAACTATTCCAAAGCGTTAAATGCATTTGTGTAGGCCCGGATGCCTTAATAGTTTCACATAAATATTGTAATGACTATATTGAATGAATTAGTTCCTTGGTCCACATTGCGTTTTATTACCTGTAGAACTTGTATTTTATCTGATTTCCTCCTTGTATTTGTGCAATCTATCAGGTGTAGATTATACACTAGGAAGTTAAATATACATATTTAAAGATTTATCTATTCATTCATGAGAGACACAGAGAGAGGCAGAGACACAGGCAGAGGGAGAAGCAGGCTCCTTGCAGGGAGCTTGATGAGGGACTCGATCCCGGGGCCCCCGGGGTCACGCCCTTGGCCAAAGGCAGATGCTCAACCGCTGAGCCACCCAGGGGGCCCTAGGAAGTTAAACATTTCTCAAAGTCTTCTACACGGTTAAGAATTGTATAAAATTTTTATTGAACTCAACTGAGATTTCTAATTATGAGCGCCTTATTTTAGATTTTTGGTATTTTCCAGTGGCACTGAAATTAACGTCCTAGCATGAGCAGCAGGACACGAAGAGTGCAATCAAGGCAGGTGTCAGCCATGCCAACTTGGCAATCAGACTTCTTGGTTTCAGATAATCTCAAAGTTTCTCTCCCATCCTCACCCCATGCGTCTTTCTCCCATTGACCTCTATGTCTCACCTGTCCTGAAAATCTATAATCAGGAAATTATTACTGTTGCTTTCTGAAAATGGCATACTTACAATCAGGAGGCATCTTTTCCATAAATACTGCGTAATATTCTTTGAGAAGCTCAAAATTCTCCTGATTGATACTTTCCTGCAAAGAGACATCTCCAAACCTAAAAATAGAACCAAGAAAACAGTCATGGGTTATAAAGAAGCTTCTGAAAGTAACAGTTTTTACCTCTCCTTTTTAAGTAGATGGCAATAGTGTCCTAAGGGAGTCTTTTTTTCTTTTTTCTTTTTTTTTTTTTTAAGCTATCACCACACAATGGTTATTTAAGTTCACTCCAGTCTCTTCTGGTCCTGATTCCATCAATCCCTTTCCATATGCCAAGCTATTTTAACAATGATCACATGGGAACTGGGATGAAAAAGCACATCTCTAACACCGGCTCCTGTGCTTGGGCGAGACCGGTACTCAGTTAACGTCAGCCTGCCTACCTCTGCAGGGTTGTATTTCTGCCGTGTAAAAAACCCTGCCTCTTCTTTTTCATGCCTCCAGTCTTCCTCGTCACTCATGACAGCTGGAGGGAGGGTCCAGGACACTAAAACTAGACACTTGGCTGCATGCAGACTGTACACGCTGCCAACTGCTGTAGGCACACATAGACCCTACAGCCTCCAGAGGGTGGAGGGAGAAGGAGAGAGACAGACAGGCGGGGGGGGGGGGCAGAGGGCGACAGAGACAGAGACTCTCAAGCAGGTGCCAGGCCCGGCACTGAGCCCAAGGTGGGGTTTGATCTCACGACCCCAAGGTCATGACCTGAGCTGAAATCAAGAGCGGGATGCTTAAGCAACTGAGCCACCCAGACGCCCTCAACATTTCTTTTCTGTCCACAGGGTGAAGGCGGACAGCCTTTGTACTAGTGCTCTTGCGCCTCTTCAACAACAAACTCTCTGTATATCACTGACCTTGTGTGTTCTTTAGGCATTTCCCAGATTTAAGCTTATGGCCAAGTTGTCTCTGTCGAAAAGGATGGTATGTAAATGGCTTCCAACAGGTATCTCCATCCAAATCTGTATTTCCAGATATCAGTGTAGGTTATCCAGCCCCACTTCAAAGGCAACATAAGCCCAAACTGAATCCACCTCCTCCTTTTGTTTAGGATTAAACACGTCCCCAATATTCGCCATTAACTCAGGTTACAGTCTAGGCACCCTTCTGGATTTCCTCTCTTTTCCCCACCCCATCCTCTACTCATTGATCTTCTCACATGCCTGGCAATCTTTTTCTTCGTTATCTGTAACACCGTCATTCTTAGGCGCTTGATTATATCCACTCTTGACTGGATATAAAGCCTCCGAAATATCCAAGCACTACGCCTTCGGTTTCGTCCCCTCTGGTCTATCCTTTACGTCATGGTCAGATCATTCATTCGTTCAACAAATATTTATTTGACATCGACCGTGTGCCAGGAGCTGCACGTGCAGCTGGAGAAGTGAATCTGACGCCTGTTCTTCCTATCAGCTCACTCACACGTCACGGCTGCTTCTCTCCCTGTAAAGACACAGCCTAACCTCCTTAGTTTGGCGTCTACCTTCTCCACAAAGGTCTCCAAAACCCCTTGTGGGAATTTACTTACACTCTTCCCCTTCACCAGCGGCATACAGATGCCTTTGGAACTTTCCACATGGTAATCTCCCTCTACCTAGAACGTCTCCTCTCCCTTGTCTGCTTGATCAATTCAGCCTTCAGGCTTTGTGAGAGGTCCGCGTACTCCGTGACACCTCTCTGAGGAATTCCTCTCCCATCCATGAATCACCTTCTTTCCTCCATTATTCCTGCCCCTTCTACATCTTTGCTTATTGTATGAGTCGACCTGCAACGTATTACATGCCGATATGGCTTCCTAACGGGATGGAAAGTTCTTTTAAGACGGGGATCACGTCCACCCGTCTTGTTACACTGCATGCTCTCTATGTGTCACAGCTTGGCACTGCCTGGTGCAAGGCCAATGTTCAATGTCTATACCGAGTTAAACTTGGAGAATAGGAATATAGACCCAGGACAATCTACCGGAGAGTTTCTCTAAACTCTGAAATATAATCTTAACTTTTTCAGACATGATAATCAAATGGTATTTTTAAAATATCACCTTGCTGGGGTAATATCATTGTTTTGGACTAAATGTTCGTGTCCTCCCCCCCCCCCCAAAAAAAATCACATTTTGAAGCCCTAACCCCCAGTAATTGTGTTTGGAGATGGAGCCTCTAAGGAAGTAATTGAAGTTAAGTGAGGTCATGAGGGTGGGGGCCCTCGTCTAATAGGATTAGTGTGTCCTTGTAAGAAGAGACACCAGGGAGCTCACCTCTCTCTTTGTACACAAAAAGGAGGTCAAGTGAGCGCACAGGGAGAAAGTCAGAGAGTTCTCACCGGAAGCCAAATTGCCTGGGAACCTTGACCTCGGAATTCTCAGCCTCTGGTGTTATGGCGTATACATTTCTGCAGTTTCAGCCACCCAGTCTGAGGCATTTTGTTACGGTAACCCAGAGTCATCAGTACGTCCTTAATTCAGAATGGATACACAAAGCCTACATTTTAGCAATGGATAAATAGGGAGTAAAATATTACACCTGGATTATGCAGCACACCTAACTTGTAGATAGAGGTTGCCTGGTAAAGCTCAAAATTCAGAATCGGAGAAATAAGGTTCAGAGAAGAGCGAGGAAGTGATTGACTCAGATCGGTATCAGAGCGCCGACCTTCCGGCTTCTCCTTTGAGTTTTTCCTCTACTTTGCCATTTTGTCTCCTTTTCAAGTCTAATGTGTCTTTACGACTCCCAGATATGAAAAAAAAAGAAGTGTATTTGTGTGTGTGTGCATGTACACACACACACACACGGACACCCACATGTAAAATACAAAAAAATCCATATATAAAATATATATATAAAATATCCATATCAAATATTCAAGAGAGATAAGAGAGAAGGAAGGGAAGGGATCTTCTATTTCATCCATTCATCTATGTATTTTTCTATCTTTTCTTGAGAGAGAGAGACAGTGCGAGGCAGGGAGAGGGGCAGAAGGAGAGGGAGAGAGAAAATCTTAAGAAAATCTGATGCAGGGATCCCTGGGTGGCGCAGCGGTTTGGCGCCTGCCTTTGGCCCAGGGCGCGATCCTGGAGACCCGGGATCGAATCCCACGTCGGGCTCCCGGTGCATGGAGCCTGCTTCTCCCTCTGCCTGTGTCTCTGCCTCTCTCTCTCTCTCTCTCTCTCTGACTATCATAAATAAATAAAAATTAAAAAAAAAAGAAAATTTGATGCAGAGCTCAGTGTTCATGACCCTGAGACCGAGACCTGAGCTGAAATAGAGGGCTTGAAAATACAACGGTAACTACACGGCTAACTCCTCCTAGACAAGTCTGTAAATGGGAACTCTCGCATCTCTCTCAAGACCATACTCACAGGCCTTAATTTATTAATTCAGGCCCCAAACACTCCGTAATCCACTGTATCAAAGAAGAGACAATTAATTTAGAGTGCTGTGGGTTTTCACCCCCCGAATTGAATAATTTACATCCATAAATATCCTTCACCTCGACCATCTGGCTTGCTGTGGGGCGCATGTGTATAGACGACTGGAATATAATCGGACTTCAGGTACTGACGTGCAAAAGCGCTCAATTACCCAGGAAAACTTGTACAACACAGTGAACAAAATTATATTCTGATTTATGCATACTATAAGAAAAGAGATTAATGGCTTCTACGCGATTCGAAATTAAATCTGAAATACAGAGCTGCCACCTAATTCTGCGACTGACAAGTAAGAACCATGAAAACCTGTGCTGTCCAGGAAATATCTTTTGGATAAGCAGGAGAGAAGGCAAAATGATTGGAAGAGGACAGATCAGGACAGGCACCTTGATCACCACTGAAATTCAAGAGGACTATAAATGTAGTGGCGTCTTTAATTTAGTAGAAGACGTTGGTACAAGATTAAGACACACTTAGCAAGTCACGGCAAAGAATATTCTAGGTGCCTTTTTTGAAGATTTTTTATTTATTTGTGTGTGTGTGAGAGAGAGAGAGAGAGAGAGGCAGAGACGCAGGCAGAGGGAGAAGCAGGCTCCATGCATCGAGCCCAACACAGGACTCGATCCCGGGACCCCGGGATCACGCCCTGGGCTGAAGGCAGCGCTAAACCGCTGGGCCACCCGGGCCGCCCTGCTAAGTGCCTTTAAACTGGAGACATTGGGAGGGTGAGTTACAGACAAGAAAGCATTTAAAAAAATTATTTTTAAGAAAGCATTTTAAATATAGAAGAGTATCAACCTCTCCCAAAGTCCCGCCTGCAGGTGACTGTCTCCAACCAGGCCTCACAGCAGGATGGCGGCTTCTTTCTCCAAAATCTTTTCAAAATGTATTCTACGAACTCGAAGTCTCATGCACATTTTCAATAATGTCTACATGTGAACCACTTAAGATACAGAAGTAATTCCCCCGTTCAAATAAAATGTCTTTGACAGCAACTCATGGGGCTATGTACAATCACATGCGGCTGGACTGTGCAGGTGATTACGAAGCAATGTGCTAACGTCTCCTAAGAACCACTGCTTTATGTTGGCAAACTGAACACCAATAAAAAATAATTTATTATTAAAAAAAAAAGAACCACTGCTTTAGTAAACAAAACAGAAGGGGACAAAGGACTGTGCTCTAGGTCCAGGGAGTCGGACACAACTCGCTGAGGTCACAGTGCTGAGGCGCCCGTGAACGCGGACAGTCCTCCAAGGGGATGCGCACGCGGCACCTGCAAACACAAACGAGCCGCTGTATGCGGACAGTCCGGCCCTGGCGTCCACACTCCCCTCTTCCCTTTGCCACACCTACGTCGGAGGTGGGCCAGGAATCCTGAACCGTGGGTGTTGTCTGCTGCGGGAGCAACGTGGGATGACCCGAGGGAAGAGGCCAGCTCGAGCCCCTCTGAGCCCCGCCCGCAGGACACAGGCTGCAGGGCAGGGTCCTAACCCCTGGCCCGGGCCACGCGGCACCAACCCCCCCCCCCCGGCCCGGCTCACCTGTCCGCCAGCGTCTGCTGTTCGTTGATTCCAACGTTGAAGAGCACGGGGTGCACGTGCAGCAGCTGGCCCTCCCTGACCGGCGGGGGCAGCGCCTCAAACATCCGCGCGGGCAGCTTCACCTCCACCACGTAGTGCTCGCTGGGGACAGCAGAGGACAGAGAGGGGACGCGGGGCTTACTCCACTCGCCCTATGTCCGCGTCGGCGGAAAGAAGCATCTGGCAGCTGGAACACAGCCGCTGCGGGCTGTCGGCTGCTGCCTCCTTTCCGCTACTAAGTCACGCAATGGCCCTGTCCTTCCCTTCACTCTGAAGTGACCCGGCGTGGACAACTATTTGCATTTTTAGAATTTTTCTCCTACTCTGAGCGGCTTTAGAAAAGGGAGGCCGTCTAGTTCATTCGTATACCGGGCCACGTGCAGATGAGACTCAACAGTGATTTTCTTCATTATTTTTAAGACCTAGTCAGCCTCAAGAATAAGAGAAGTACTTTAATGATGGATTTTTTCGACACAGTGAAACGAGTGAAGCAAATCAAATCATTTACGATAGTTCTGAGCATGGCCCGAGTGTGGCGGCTACTGATGAGCCTCCCGGTGGTGACGGCGTGATGGAAATGGAATGGAATGGAATGGTTTCATTACTTAGGATGCAACCTTTGGGGGTTCCTGACCATCTTTGCAACAAGAGCTTTTTTTTTCTTTCTTTCTTTCTTTTTTTTCCATTGGAAATTTCCAGTAAAAATTACCCCTCATGTTCAGTGCTGAAAATTTAAATCAGGATTCACAGAACATGGTCAACAATAGCTGCCTGTGTATTTTTAGACTTGACATCTTCTGATGCAGTGTGAACCGACTATTGAAATGTGGAGAGTTTTGCTCAGAATTTATGAAAATCCATGTGTTCCTGGAGCTATATATATAGTGCCGGGATGGCAATACATGTATTGGGAAAAGAAGCACAGGACAATTAGTGAGGCTCTTTGTGAAAATATTCTTAGTTTTCTAGCATGACAATCCTGACGCGTACTACGCGGGACGATGGACTCAGATTTGCTCCTTACCTGGGCTTCGGACAAGAGAACCAGGACATACCGTGAACCCAGCAGGCAGGGATCTTAGCGCTACCCCCACATGAATGGACACATTATCTTTCTTTTTGAAACTGCTCTCAGCGCCCTTTACAAAAGTCTGGCTCACAGAGGGCTGATGTTTATTTATTCCAAGTCTTTCAAGACTACGAGAAGAATCCATGAGTCCGCCCACGTGTAAAGGTCGCGCTGAAGGTGAAGCATTATATAATGGGTCACGATGACCTTTTGTCAGCTCTGTTAAAACATCAGCAACATAAACTCATCCATTTTAAGTGTGTATGACTCTGAGTTTTAGCAAATGTATGGAGCTGTGCAATCCTGACCATAATCCAGTTTCAGAACATTTGCATCACCCTAAAAAAAAAAAAAAAATCTCTCAAGCCTGTGTGCCCGCTGCCAGCCCCGGGAAACCACTGATCTATGTTCTATCTGCAGATTTTTCTGCTTTCCGTATTTCATGTAGACGGGATCATAGAGTATGTGGTCCTCTGTGTCTGGCGTTTTTCATTTAGCTCCATGACTTTGAAGTCATCAGACAGCAGCATGTTTCAGGAGTCTGTTCCCTTTTATCCCGGGGTACAGCACCCTATTGCGTAGATACACCACGTTTTCCTTACGTACCCACGAGTTGATGGCTGCTTGGGATACTTCGCAGCTGCACTGTTATGAATAATGTGTTCGTTTTTCTGTGGACGTATGGGTTCATTTTCTCTTAGGTACATACCCAAGAGTCATATAGTAATTTTTAGGTTTAACTTGTTAAGAAACTGCCAAATTGTTTCCAAAGTGGCAGCACCACACGACATGCCCCCCAGCAACGTGAGGGTTCTGGGTTTTCCACATCCTTGCAAACACTTGTGATTGTCTGACTTTCTGATTATGATGATTTCTACTGTGAGTGAAGTGGTATCTACTTGTGGCTTTAATTTGCATCCTCCTAATGACTAATGACGTTGACTGTGTTTCCATATGGATATAAGCCCCCGATAATAGGTCTTATCTGGCAAAATGTGTATTCAAATCTTTGCCCAATTTTAAGTTGGGTTTTTTTGTCTTATAATGGTTGAGTTGCCAGATTTCCTTATATATTCTGGACGCAAGTATTTTATTTTATTTTATTTTATTTTACTATTTTATTTTATTTTATTTTACTATTTTATTTTATTTTACTATTTTATTTTATTATTTTATTTTACTTTACTATTTTATTTTATTTTACTATTTTATTTTATTATTTTATTTTACTTTACTATTTTATTTTATTTTACTTTATTATTTTATTTTATTTTATTTTATTTTATTTTATTTTATTTTATTTTATTTTATTATTCTTTTTGGACGCAAGCATTTTATAGGATGTATGATTAGCAGGTATTTTCCCAATCTGGCTTGTCTTTTCATTTACTTAATGACATTTTTGCTCCTTCAACGTTTGTGATTTTGACTAAATCCTATCTATCAAATTGTGTATTTTATGAATCTAGAATTTTGGGTCCTATCGAAGAACTCTTTCCCTAACCCAACTTAGAAATATTTTCTCAAAAAAAAATATATTTTCTCCTAGGAGGTTCATAGTTTTAGCTTGCATTTAGACCAGTGATCCATCGTGAGTTGGTTTTTTGTCTATGATGTAAGTCGAGGTTCTAAATGATTTTTCCTGCGTATGGATAACCAATCGTCACAGGAACATTTCCTTGGAAAGACTCTCCATTCTCTAATTGCTTTGGCACCTTTGTCACTAATCGATTGACCCTAAAGGTAATAGTTTATATCTGGGCTCTAAAGTCCGTTCCATTAATCTAGATGTGTGTGCTTATGCCAGTACTACAGGGTCTTCATTATTGTGGTTTTATATTAAGTTTTGAGATCAGAAAGCGTCAAGTCTTCTTTTGTCCTTTTAGAAAATTGTTTTTGGGATTCTGGGTCCTTTGCATTTCCATACAAATTTTAGGTTTAGCTTGCCAATTTCTGCACAAAAGACTACTGGGATTTAGACAGCAATTGCATGAATCTATAGATCGGTTTGTGGAGAACTGCCATCTAAACGATATTGAGTATCCTAATCTGGGAACACGGACTGTCTTTCCGCTTATCGGATCTTATTAATTTCTCTAAGCACGGTTTTGCGTGTTCTGTGTACAATTCTTAGAGTACTTTGTTAAATTTGGCCTGATGTAATTATTCTTTTGGACGCTACTGTGAAGGAAATTGTTGTCTAAATCATTACCGTTTCCAGCAACTTTTCAGGAGTGTGCTTTTTTTTTTCTGCTTTCCAATCCAAATCAAGTCCGTTTCCTCTGGTGGTGAACCTGCTGGTCTCTTCAGCCTGCGTTGCCCCCGTAAACCTCTGCTGACGGAGCTGGGTTCCACGGGAGCGACTGTGGGCAAGAGTGCCGCAGACACCAAACGTCTGGGCCAACGTTCGCCGCTTTCTCATTAATAAGTACTTGTAAGTGTGTGTGCACAGTCGACTTATCTCCTTAGTCTCAAGGTGGCTGTTTTAGACGATTGTGTCCAATTGCAACGTCGCTCCACATCCTGGAGACAGGACTTGCTAAGCCGCTCACTGTGCCATCCTAGGAGTTCCACTCACACCTGCTTCACAGCTTTTGAACTCAGATCCAGCCTGCAGACTCCTCAGGAAAAGCGTCTGTACCCTGCCTATGCCAAATGGCCCGATCAACTTCCCCTATCAATCGCGATAGAAATATCAGGTTCCCCCTTTTGATAATCCCCGCGGTACTATTTTCGGTAATACGGAAACGGTACTATTTTCCAGGTGTGTGTATGAGCACATTTATTCTTCTTTCTTCCAATGCACAGAAAATTAAGCATGAGTGCACAGATGAAATATTTAGTTCCATGAGGATATTTTTTTTTCTTTCTGTATATGAAATGGTCACCTTTCATTCAATCATGTGTCCCTGAGCATCCTTCACGCAAAATATAGAATATTTTTGTTCTAAAATATTCAAAATATAGAATCATCTGTTGACTACAGACAAGAGAGCAAGTGAGTCTGGACTTTTACAATAACTTACTTCTTTCTCCATCTCTCTCCAGCATGAGGAGGGCTTTCTCTTTCGCACGCTCGTATTTTTTCCCTGTGATCTAAGAATGTTTCAAATTTCGGATGTCCTCATGCAGCATTTAAAAGCGCTAGTGCCAGAATGGTCACCATTTGGTGGACCTGTGACTGAAATGATTTACCATGGGATATAATTCTTCTGTTGGAGGTCTATTTTACACGCCATCATTTTTCTTAATTATTTCTGATATTTTGCCCATCATTCACTGACCTTCGGCGCTCTATTTATTTAAAACCATTCTCGGAAATCTCAGTCTGTGAGCGAATTGTCAAAAATAATTAAGAAAAACGGCGGTATATGGCCCTGACACAGAAATAGATCTTTTCTAAAATGTTGCTGCTTTTAACAGAATTTAATATAAAGTCATTTCAAGAATTATGACGCTATTAACCAAATGATTCCAGCAAAAGTAAAAACACCCGGAGCTTTGGACTAGATAATAAGAAAGAGAGGAATGTTCTTCTCATGCCTGCTGTTCTTCTAAATTCCTCCTATTTCAGGGGGGAGCCTTACTACGCTCACTTCACTACCATAAAATCTACACACGTTCGTGAACCTTCCAGAAGCTTTTCAAGATCTTCCTCTGTTATGTCACCTGCATTCATTTCTCACCAAGTAGGAAAAAAGACAAAAGAAAAATGTCCAAACCAAACCTTAATTCTCCTTGGGTCCTCTGTCAGGAGTTAAGACAAATGTCTAACAAAGCTTGGTCTCATTGGAAATGGGCACCACTTACCGCCTTCCTGTTATAACTGGCAAGACATCATTGGATTTGGCTTCGATGATTTTAAATGCGACTTTCTTCAAATCTGAGATGCCAACAGCCATGTCCTCCAGCATCCCGATTTCATCACCTGCACGCGGGAAAAGGTGCGTTGTTGCAAACTCACTATTTAAAGAAAATGTCACTTGGTACTACACCTCCCTGCTGGGATTTGTTCGAGCGCTTTAGTGAATGAGCTTCCGAATGCAGTGAATATACTCTAAACACTTCTCCTCGGAGGCTGAAGGCTTTCAGCAGTGAAATAAGAACCATTTCAGTGGACTCCAGCAGCCCAAGTACCCTTTGGGGGAGAGAAGAATGGGCACACTTGCCGGAAGTCTACAGGGAAGTTTTAACTCCTTTATGAACCGGAGTATCATGCGGTTCTCTTTCCATTGGCGGGACTGATATTTAATTTCTAGAAGCAGAAGTAGATCCACAATACCCAGCACAAATGTAACGCAGGCCGCGTACATGACTTCAAATTTCCTGGTGGCCATATTTTTAAAAGCGCGAAATTTATCAAGGTCAACTTAATAATGTATGTCGCTCTGACCCAGCATGTCCCAAATATCATTTCAGTTATGAATCAATGTGAAATTATGAATTATTGCTATAAAACAAGTTTTTCCTCGTCTTTGAAATCTGGTGTGAAATCGGAGAAGGACAAACATGATATGGTCTCATTCATTTGGGGAATATAAACAATAGTGACAGGGAATAAAGGGGAAAGGAGGAACAATGAGTGGGAAATATCAGAAAGGGAGACAGACTATGAGAGACTCCTGACTCTGGGAAACGAACTAGGGGTGGTGGAAGGGGAGGTGGGCGGGGGGTGGGGGTGACTGGGTGACGGGCACTGAGGGGGGCCCTTGATGGGATGAGCACTGGGTGTTACGCTGTAAGTTGGCAAATGGAACACCAATAAAAAATAAATAAAAAAAAAAGAAATCTGGTGTGCATGGTAAGTACACGTAGATTTGGACTAGACACATTTCAAGTGCTCAACAGCCACACCAGGCTTTGTATTAAACAGCGCAGCTCTAGACAATACAGAGTTGGGACTTTAAAAATCTAGTCGTTGAAACTATGTTGGCAAAGGGCTTTTCATATTAAAAAAGCCAGGTGGCTGCTCAGGGCTCCACTACTCCTACTCCATGAGATAATCTATAATTCCATCCTCAAAACAGAACGGGGTAAGAGTACAGTTACAAGGTGAATGAATGCAAAGGACTGAAAGTCACGTTATTTCTGTAATGCCTGATGTCATTGAGGGTTATTCCTCATTTTTATGTTTAACTGCAGAATCTGTGGATCAAATATCCTGATGTGTGAGACGGTGACTGTTAACAGGTACTAAAGCAATACTCAGGGATCCCTGGGTGGCGCAGCGGTTTGGCGCCTGCCTTCGGCCCAGGGCGCGATCCTGGAGACCCGGGATCGAGTCCCACGTCGGGCTCCCGGTGCATGGAGCCTGCTTCTCCCTCTGCCTGTGTCTCTCTCTCTCTCTCTCTCTGTGACTATCGTAAAGAAAAAAAAAAAAAGAAAAAAAAAGCGATACTCACTGTAGGTACTCAGCAGTCCTTCATACTGCACCACCAATCCCACGGTGTGAAGCTGCTGCAGAAAGCCAGGGTCATGCAAACTCGTGTGTAGTTTGATGATAAAACCACACACCAATCCAGCAAGCTACAAAAAAAAAAAAAAAAAAAAGAAAAAAGAGAGAGAGAGAGAGAGAGAGAGAGAGAGAGAAACAAGAAAGTCATTTTAGAAATTGACTGGGATCAGCAAACTTTAATTGAAAAATATTTAAGATTTCTGAGGCATCACAGATTCATTTATTTATATTTATTTTTTTATTTATCTTAATTTTTTTGGCATCACAGATTTTTATTTTTATTTTTATTTTTTTTGGGCATCACAGATTTAATGACAATTTTCAAGTGTGTGAGACAGCCATGAGCTAGTGGGGGACCCGGACAGTGTGGTTAAAAGATCCCTTTTAGAAAAGAGTCTCCTTTCCCCCGTGTGCGTGTCTATAAGACTCCGCTGTGGCTGTGAGTGTGAAACTATCTTTTCACAAAGGCGTATCCATAGGTTCACGGGACTCTCAGACCAGTATTCCCTTTATTTTCTTCTATGCTACTGTACTCTTCGTACGTGCACCAGCAAGCGCATGCCTGACACAAGCAATCACTGGGACAGCCGGCGCGATGGAGGCCGGCTCCGTGTCACGGCGTAGGCTTGGTCTTGCTAAACCTTGCCCGTAAGCATTACTACCCTACAAACTTATTTTATAAACAAATCCGAAGAGAGATCATGAAGAGGCCCCGTCCTGGGATTCTGGAGGGAGCCCAGTGAGTGGGAGACTGCAAAGGCAGCTCTTGGCCGGCCCCGGTGCCACGTCGGTGTGCGGCAGCCGCCCCTGTCCCTCCGCTGGGCGCTGTGTGCCGACCCCGGGGCTTCCGGTGGTGACGGGGTGGGCGGCCTCACACGTTTCAGAGACGTGGCCACCTGTTTGCACAAACACGTACTTAGGCCTCCCTGGCCGCCCGTCCCCGCGCCGCGCGACAAGAGGCACCTACTGCTTGGCTGAAGACGACGTCCCTCCTGAGGGTGAGCATCAGGCACTGGGGCAAGCCGGCCGCGAGTTCCTGCAGGAGCACGAAGGCCAGGGACTGCTTGGCTCGGTTCACCACTTCTCCCATGCAGTCCTTGAGGGCGCGGATGAGGGGACACAACTGCTCGTACCAGTCCTCTGCGGGGAGGAAGGGGGGGTCAGAAGGGGCACAGATGCCCGTCGTGGGGGACGGCGCCCATTTGCCGCTCCTATCAAGGTGAGCCTACTAGCAAGGATTCGCAGCAGTTGCACCTGAAGGGCTCCGAGGGCAGCGCCCCCCGACTCCAGGGGCCTGCGGCCGCCCGCTGGCTCTCCACGGGGTGCCCTGCGGGGTGACCACACTGGACTCCCCCTCTCCGTCCCGTCACCCGCAGTCCGTGCCGCCTGTGCCCTGGTGGACGGCGCCGCCAGGCTCTTCCATGTGGAGGCCACGTCTCCCTGGTTCCTCTACGGTCTCCACTTGGGGACACTGGGCGAGTTCTACTCTTGCGGAAGCCACCAGACAGTCGCCTCGCCCTCTGCCTCCGTCACTTCTCGGTCTCCTCTGGATCAACTACTCTCCCTTTCCTTGCGGTCACAGCCTACGGGAACCCTTTCTCAACAGCGTCCCCCGAGTCCCCCGAGTCCCCGGAGGGGGCTTCCTAAGCACTCGGGATCCCGTCCCATCATTCACCCCCTCGCCGCCCTACTTTAAAGATCTTAAAAACACGAAAGCGTTCAGAGTGAAGTCCCAAAGCACAAAGCAGCCTCCATTATCTGACCTCGGCCTCCTGGTCCAGCCTCACTTCCCGCAACATCCTCACTCGCAGTCCTGAGTCCCAGGTGAACGGCAGAACGCGATTTCCCCAGACCTGTCCTGAGCTTTCACCTCGGCGTGTCTGCAAATCCCACCTCCAGCCCCGGAGCGCACTCCCTCTACGTATCCTCCTGACACGCTTCCTCTTCTCTGCACCCTCCGCTTAGGCCTTGCGCCTGCAGGAAGCCTGCGGCTCCACACCCACACCCACGCTCATTTACTGAAGTTTGGGTTACTTACTTTTGTGCCCATGATTCCTTTTTCTTACCGTTCTAGAACTATCCACGCATTATTTTCTCCGCAAGAAAGGGAGCTTATGGACAGTAAGGAATTCATTTTTTGATCCCCGAACCTAGCATAGAGTCTAATATATATATATATATATGTAGCAGATACTCAATCAGTTTCAATTGAATGAGTAAAGTTACAATAAATGTAACAAAAGTGATCGAAGATCTAGATAAACAAGCATGACAAAATCAAGTTTTTGACCATTCACATAGGTTTTCACTAAATCAGGACACAAAACCGGAACCGTCTTGAGTTTTTCGCACGTCTGGATACGTAACTCGCTTCAAGTACACAACTATGATGTCGGCATATGATACGGACACGAGTTATATTTTAGTTATTATTTTGGAGATCGAGGCCTGGGTAAATGTCAGATACTACACGTCCTGGACTGTGTGACAACCCCTTAACATATAAATAGGTTAACAGCAGTATGACAAAGAAATTTAGTAGAAAGGAAGGTATGCTGAAGAATCAATCATAATTCAGTATCCGAAATGACCCGATCTCAGCACAAAAGCGTAGGCTTCGCCGTGAACGACATAAATGGTCAGCAGCCAGCTAAGACCTTGGAGGAGTCATGGCGAACGATAAAAAGAACCGTGATCACACCTGCGCCGTGTCTACCGTCACGTCGTGATTTTACGTTGTGTTGCGATAGGACCCAATGAAATAAACCCAAATGGTCGAAAGAGTAATGAATGACCGCGACCTAATAAAAAGATGAGCTTCTTCTTAGTATTCTACGTCGACGTTTATGCGGCGCTCTAACGCAAAATACACTCGGAACGTTGCGAGTCGTCATTTAAAGATATTGTAGGATTACGGGTGACGTAATGGGAGAAAACACCCGCGAAGGGGGCAAGGGACGGAGGCCTAACGAATCTGTGATCACGTAATGGAGGACTCACTTGTGGGCAGCCTACGTCGAAATCCGAACAACGGTTCATTTTAGACAAGCATCGAGAAACTCCTGAATTTTACGTCGTTGGCACAGGTGAAAGGGCACGGGACGGCGCGTCGGAGGACATCCAGAAGCGATAGTCCTTATGCCTGTGTTTTTCCGTCCTTGGGTCTTTTGGGTCCCGTTCTCCGCCACTGTCATCGATCCCAATATGAACGTCCCCACACACGCTGGTTCACTGACACACACGTCTATCCGCTAGGGAAACAAAGGTGGCGATAAACCGACCCAGGGCTGCATCTCCAGAGGCAACAGACTGCAGGATGCGCGGATTCTGGGCTTGGGGCTGCGGGGAGCGGCTGCCGCTGGAGCCCCCGCAACGGGAGTAGAGGCGGGTGCGGTGGGTGGCGCTCCTTGCTGGGTGCCGGCCGGGCTGGGCGCCTCCTTTCGGGCCCTGGCCCCGTGGGACGGGCTCCTCCTGGTGGGGAGGGGGGCGACTTCAGGGCGCGCCTGCATCTCCTGCGGGACCCTGGGTGGCAGTAAGGTTCGGGATGGCTCTGGGGTTCTTCACCTGCACCAGGCTGTCCTCGCCCACTGCGGGGCCTAGCCTCACGCCGACGTCACCGGCTGAGCCCTACTCGAAGCTGCCATCGTGTCGCCAAGGAGGGAGTGTGATTTGTGGTCTCAACAGAGTGGAGCTGGGGCGCCCGGCGGGCTCGCGGGCAGCCTCCGCCCTGGCTGGGGTCACGATGCAAGTGCCCCGCCAGCCCCTGGCCCCCTGCTCACTCTCACGTACCCAAGGGAAACCTCTCGAAAGCACAGAGTAAACCTGAAGCCTGTTAGACACACTGATCTCGGAGGTCCCGGAGCACGAGCGGCTGGCCCAACGCTAACAGCACGCGGGGCCTCGTTCCCCAGAGCCGTGTCCGCCTCGGCCGGGGGCCAGTCCCGGGTAGCACCCGGCGGGCGGGCGGGGGGCAGGCGCCGGAGCAGGGTGCCTCGGGCTCGGCGGCAGGAAGCCACGGGCTTCTCTCCCAGAGGGACAGCTGCAGCCTGGGCCCGCGGTGGCCGTCACAGGCCGTGGCCTACCCTCTGGGCCTCGCGCCTCAGCTCCTCCAACTTCATCTGACACTCTTTGTACAAACCACCCGCACCCACACCCACCCGCACCCACACACACACTCACACACACACACACACACACACACGGCCACCGAACCAGCCCCGCCCAGGCCAGGGCCCCGGGGCTCTGGGCCCCCTCCAGTGACAGGGGAAGATGCAGGAGGATGAGTCCAGGTCTCTGTGGGATGTCGCTGGAAGCCCCCGAGCCCGACTCCAACAAGCAGGGCCCTTCCTCAGGGAAACGCACAAGGTCTGGGGCTTGGCGAGGGCCTAGCCTGGGGTTAGCAGCCTGGGTCAGGGGCCTGGGGGGTCAGCGGCCTTGGGGTCAGCAGCCTGGGTCAGGGGCTTGGGGTCAGCGGCCTGGGGTCAGTGGCCTTGGGTTCGGCGGCCTGGGGGTCAGTGCCTTGGGGTTGGTGGCCTGGGGTCGGCAGCCTGGGGTCAGCGGCCTGGGGGTTAGCGGCCTGGGGGTCAGGGGCCTGTGGAGTCGCCCGAGGCCACCGCACGGAGCCCACTGGCCAGCCCGCCTCTTGCTCCTGGGACCCCCGAGGCCCCACCGCCGCCGCCCGCAGGCCACCCGGAGCTCGGGCCCGAGGACGCTCAGGCTCCCCGGGAGGCGGCAGGAGCCGAGGGCCGCGGCTGCAGCAGAGCGCAGAGCCTGCCTTCCCTCGGCACCGGCTTCTTCTCAGGCCTTTGGGCTTCGTGGCTCTAAGGTAAGGAGCTCCCCGCAAGCTCGCAGCCACCGCTCTCTGTGTTACCACGACTTGGAGACTCGGAAGGGAAGGAAGCTGAAGGTGTGCAGGCCGTTACTCTGCGCAGAGAGAAGTGGGCCCAGCGTGCAGGGTTGGCTCGCAAAGCAGATGCTCCGGGGGAAGCCGAACCCCTCGGGCGGCCTCAAGACGGCTACGATCCAGCCCCTGAGATCCGGGCTGACGCGGCGACAGGGCCTCGGGTGCCCCCAAACCGCAGGCCGCGCGGCCCTGGCGATGCGTGGGGGCTGGCATGGCAGGCTTTGCCCTCTCTGCTCCGAGTCCTGGTTGCCTGATGGAGCCGCGTCCTCCGTCACCCGCACACAGCTGCCAGGGTCCCCTCCGAGGGCGGGCCCCATCGTCCCGGCGCGATCCTGCAACGTGGACATCGTGACTTGGGGGTCAGTGAGGAGGCTTCCTCTCCGGGCGGTTCACAGCCGAAGTCCTTTGCAGGAGTATAATCCAGGTGGCCCACCTTGGTCACAGATCCTGGACACCTGCCCACACGGGGCCCCCCGGTATCTGTCCCCCCAGCACGTAGGCTAATCAGGCAATAGATGAAGATTTTTTTTTTTGACCCAGGAAGAAATTTTTTAATTAATTTATATTTTTTAAATTTTTTTTTCAACGGCAAGCTTTTATTTAAAAAATAGAAATCTATTGTTTCATTTGAATATTTCCAAAGAATCAAACTCATCCTGGGCAGACCACATGGTGGCTATCCAGAGCACTGAAAAGGGAGCCATTGGGTCACCATGATCCAGCAGTAAATTCTTCGAGCGGGGTTAGGTTTTAAGTTCTTCATGCTGCTCTTGATCAATCAGCAACTGTGACTGGGGTTCAGAAACCATCCTTAACTCATCCCCAGATGGAACAACTTGCGCAGAAATGCTGGTCCTCCCCAGTAACCCCTTAGCATCATATTCCAGCACAGGAAAGGCATCAGGTCAGCCTTCATGAGGTACATGGTAAGTCGCTCCCTGCTCTGGGACCGGCTCTGGGGGAAGGTTTCCAGCGGCTGAGCATTGTAGTCGAATTCCGCGAGAATCACCCGGTTGTAGCCAGTCACCAGTGGACACGAGGTGTAGCCATCATACTTTTTTGTTGGTTTTTTATTCTTCATCGTCAGAGAAATTGTTCTGTCGGGTATTCCTGACTGGGCAGCCACGGCAGCAGCGGGCTTCGACGTGGGAAGGTTGGCGCAGTCCCCAATCCCAAACACATTTGGGTATTTCTTGTGTTGAAGAGTTTCTTTATCGAGGTCCACCCAACCCACAGCATCAGCCACAGGACTCGTCTTGAGGGCATCTGGTGAGCTCATTGGTGGGGTCACGTGAAGCATTTCGTATGAAATCACTTGGGTCTCTCCAGGTTTGTCCAGATTCTCAAAAACAGCCTCTTGCCTATCAGCTCGGACTTCAATGAGGTTTTGTTTGTGGTTAACAGTGAGGTTCCTTTCCCGGATGATCTCCTGCAGGGCAGCTGCATACTTCTTCACCCCAAAAATTGTGCCAAGGGAAGTGTTGAAAATGATATTGGCCTTGGATCGCTTCCCCGTCTTCCTGAAATAGGCTTCTGACAAGTACACGGTCTTCTGTGTTAATAACACTTATTAGAGGGATTATTTCACAATATACAAATATGGGATCATTAGTCGTACCCTGGAAACTAATAGAATGTTGCATTCCCTTATACCTAAAAAAAACTAAAAAGCATGCTCAGTTATAGTGTCCTAATAGTTTCAGCGAATGTTTATGCGTTGCTTTTTGTGCAGAGTATTTGGTAATATAAGGTAATTTTTAAGTCTGAAAAAAATCTCGAGTTTTGCTCTGGAGGAGGTCAAAGTAGAGAAATGCATAAGCAAGGGACAGTCATAATCAAGGAAATGCATAATCGAGGAAAGAAAAGTGCCCACTGAGGCCCGGCCCGGCTGCCTAGAATGTCTTCCTCAGCCGCTCAGAACGCCCTCGGAGCCCCCCTGGCCTTGCCCATCTCTAGCATCTCTTGGCTCTGGCCCAGGAATCGAAAAGCCGATCTGTATTTATGTTTAGCACGGCCTAGCCTGTCTTCCTTTTATCACTTTCCCTCCCTTCTTCGCCTCCATTGTGAGAAACACAGTCATTTGTCAGGTCAGAGAGAACGTTTGGGAAGCGAGGTCCTATGGGTGACACAGACTTGTCGCCCGTGGCGCCTGTTCTCAAGGGGTTTAAAATATAGAAGGGAAACTTAAGAGCTATAAGGCAATGCCTGCCACATAGAGGAATCGGGTAAGTGCCACCAAAGTCGGGACCGTGACAAAACGAGCTTAGAAGGAATAAGAGTCTAGAGGCAACAGAGTTCATCTCCGCGGGGAAGATCGTAGTCGTTCACGGTGTGTTGTGTATTGAGTATCTGCACGCAGGCCCGTGTGGATGCGGTTCAGGGAGGCCGCGTGGCCGGCAGGTAGCGAACACCCACAAAACGAAGCTTTGTAGGAACAAATCGGGGTCCCTGGTTGGATGATGTCAAGTCCCACAGAGAGATTCCATAAACTGAGCGAAGGGTGCGGTTGAGGGACTGGAAGGGAGGAGGCGGGGGGCTGACATTGGGGTCGCACTTGGATAAGGCAGGAGCACAGTGGAAATACTGTTGAGCCTGAAGCTAAAGGGGGGAAAACAACAACAACAACAACAATAATAATAATAATAATAATAATAATAAAACGTAGTGGGCCGTCATCATGGCGGGGAGAGGGAAAGAGGTGAGCCGGGGTAGGGAGGGAAGGAAGAAGGTACCGACTCGGCGTGAGCAGAGAGCCAAAAGCTGAGAGGCAAGGTCAAATCCAGAAATAACGGGTATCTGGTGGCCCAAATGGAAACAGGGCTAATGGTGACCGTGCGGGGAGAGTCGTACAGACGGCAGGGTGAGCCGCGGAGAAGTCCTAAGGCCCCAGGGATGCTCATGCAAAGGACAGACACGACTCTTAAGATGCGATCATCGGAGCAGCAGCGCCCACCGCACTACGGTGCGGGGCAAGGGGCTGCTCTTGGCCCCTGGCGGCTGCGTTAGACCTTGGGTACTGCTCAACTCCAAGCAGGCGGCTGGGAGCGCAGAGGCGACCTTCTCTTGCGTCAAGGGAGCCGTGTTGGTTTAAACCCTGCCAGCCCGAGAACACGGAGCCCTAACACTTTCCGATCCCGCTCTCAGAGAGAGAGAGCAAAGGAAACGCGTCGACCGGTGTTCCCGTTAAACTTCTCATTTTGTAGCACGAAGTTGAGAGCCTTCAGCAAATTCTGCTAAGGCGGTTTCCAGGAACTAAATCCACTCATCAAACAAGCTCTGCGTTTGTTGTCGCACCTAAGTTTCCAATTGGGGGTTATGATGAGCCTGGGGGAGTCACCCATGCATATCCATTGGGCGCATTTTGGCTTTTGGACTTAAAAAAAAAAAGAAAAAAAAAGCCGTGGCCTCAGGACTCTGGCCCACAAACGTGCTGAGCATTTAAGGGCTGCATGGGACAGAGATCACTGGGAGACCTGAACCCACCAATGCATCTGCATCCTTGAGCTCCTGTCACTTAAATTTTTTTTAATAATAAATTTATTTTTTATTGGTGTTCAATGTGCCAACATACAGAATAACCCCCAGTGCTCATCCCGTCAAGTGCCCCCCTCAGTGCCCGTCACCCAGTCACCTCCACCCCCACCCACCTCCCTTTCCACCTCCCCTAGTTCGTTTCCCAGAGTTAGGAGTCTTCATGTTCTTAAATTTTGTGCAGCCTCTAGGACTGAGAGGAGACAGGGAGCGGATGTCGAGTGGACTCAAGCCTGGCTGGAGCACAGGCATCCAGAGAAGGGAACAGGACACGCGTTTCTACCCTGAAGTGAACAAGGCGAGTCCAGTTTTCTATTTTCTTTCTTTCTTTCTTTCCTTTTTTTTTTTTTTTTTTTTTTGAATTTCTAGCAAACCTCAAGGCCGCTGGGATATAGTGCCCCATTGTCTCCAATACTCTCCAAATGCAACAAAGCCTCACGTAAATGGATGTGAGTGCTAAGAAAGTAGGCAAGTCGACCAAATACGACGTAAGCGGGACTATCGCTCCGGCCCTTCCGTCCATATGCCTCAACGTTCCTACATGGGAGATACGCATCCTTTTTTTTTTTTTTTTTTTCCATTTCTCCTCTATCTCCGTTTCATTGTGGGTGTGAGCATCACCAGATTTATGATAAAGCCAAGCAACTTTTCAAGTGTAATTTATCAATACGTGGCAATTCTTAATTTCCGCCCTGAGGTACGATCCCAATAATAAACCCCGAAGAGATTTCTACGGGATTGATTTTCGTGATGTTATCTCATAATATCCCTAATTAGTGCCTAATAAAACTTAGCATTTTGTTAAAAGGGTGACAGCAAAAAAAATGATCCGTGCAGAGTAAGATTAGTGACGCTTTCTCTTGGAAAGGACAGAAGCAGGGCAGCGCAGTGGTTAGGAGAGCAGGCCCCGGCTCAGACCCCCAGGCTGGGAGGAGGCCAGGCTGCGCCACTGGGCTGGGCCTGACAGCGCACAAGTCATTGGACTTTCTGCTTCTTCATCCGTTAACTAGGTTATGAGTGTTGCAAGAATTAAATAATACAGGCAATATTTTTAAAAGTTTCCGGCACACACACAAAAAATAAAAATAAAAGTTTCCGGCACGTATTAAGCAACCCCCCCCCCCGCCCCGCCGAATGTTAGCTTCTATCTTAAACAATTACTACAACAAGGAAGTGATTTTTCTATGTCATCCGATGTCTTGGACTTTCTACTTCTTCATCCGTTAACTATGTCACGAGTGTTGCAAGAATTAAATGATACAGGCAATATTTTTAAAAGTTTCCGGCACATATCAAGCAACCCCCCCCCACGTTAGCTTCTATCTTAATTACTACAATGAGGCAGTGATTATTCTATGTCATCCGATGTCTGCCCACCTGCTGACATGGGTCGCTCACCTCCTCCTCCTCCTGTCCTAGGGCTGAAGATGAGCTGTGCGTCCTCCAGCTAAGACCAGCTCCTCTCTCCGCACACAAGGTCTCCTCTCCTCTCACCTCCTCCCAAGTAACACTCAACAATTCCCTCCCCTTCCTCCCACATGATGGGTATTTCCTCTGTTGCCGGAGCATTCCCGTCGGCACACAGACTCGCCGCTACCCTCCCAGCTTTAGAAACAACCTGTCCTGACCCTCTTTCCCTCTACGGCTTCCACCCTATTTCTCTGCTTCCTTTCACGGTGACCCTCCTCAGAAGCCTTGTCTACACCTGCTGTTTCTGGTGGTTCCTCTTCTTTCTCTGCCTCTTGACCACTCCACCTGGGTTTTGTCCCTCTTCACTCCAGGGAATTCTCGCCAACGTCACCAGTGACTTCTACACCGATAGATCCCACTTGAGCTTTCCGCAGCGTTTGCCATGCCGGTCACTCCCCCCGGAACACTTCTCCCCGATTCTCCCCGATTCTCCTGGATTTCAGGGTATCATACTTCTCCGGTATCCTCTTCTCTTACCGGCCATTCCCTACCCAACTCTGCTGCTGCTTCTTCCATCCCTTCTGACCTACTAACATTGGGACATCCCCCCCTTGTAATCTGCATGGTAACTTCCGCTTCTCTGAACAGCCAATTCTTCGTTGACGTTGTTCAGTTTCACAGTTTTTATTTTACTAGTACAGTTTCACGGCCCTATTTATATGTTGACAATTTCCAACTCAATTTTTTTAATTAAGTTTTTAACTTTAATTCCGGTGTAGTTAACGTACAGTATCATATTAGTTTCAGGTGCACGATGCAGTGATTTAATAATTCTCTACATTACCCAGTGCTCCTCGTGATAAATGTACTCTTTATCAAGATTTATCTCTTTAAACTGAACCTCTCTCTTGGATCCCAGATTCTATGTCTAAATGCATACTTGATATTTCCGTGTAAACTTGGCATGTCCCATGGTGAATCAGCTCCTATTCACCACAAACCCTGTGCTACCCAGTATTCACCAACCAGGACATGACCACCCCATCTCTCCAGCAGCTCATGCCAAAAATGTTGACTCATTCTTAATTTCTCCCTTTTTTTTTCTCATTCTTTCATCCAAACCATCAGAAAAGCCCGTTGGCACTACATTCAAAGTAAGGACAGAGTCCAAACGCTTTTCATCACCTCCACGGCCACCTTCTTCTCGGTAGTCCAAGCCACCATCACGTCTCACCTAGATAATTATGTTAACTTTCTAGCTGGTCTATACCTGCCTCCGCCTTTCCCATCTATCGTTTAATATCCATATAATAGCCTAGGTGTTAAAAATCTATGTCCTATTAGGTTAATCCTCTGCTCAAAACCCTCTGATTGCTCTTATTTTTCTCTCGGGAAAAGCCAAAGTCAATACAAAGGTCCTACATGACCCTTTCTCCAAGTTACCAAGTATGAACTCCAAGATGAAGTATAAATTACTCCAAGATGTACTCCAAGAAGTATTTATACTCCAAGATGAAGTATAAATTCATCTTCTACTTCTCTTCTCTTTGCCTTCTCTATTCAAACCAACTTGGCATTTTTGCTGTTTACTGATCATGACGGGGGCGTTATTGTCTCAAGGCTTTAGCACTGTTTTCCGTGCCCAATATATCCTTCCCCCAGATGTCCACACGGCTTCCATCTTTTCCTCCTTTTGTCTTTGTTCTAACATCAACCTCTCGATGAAGGTGATGAATTAAGGCTAATGAATTAAACTTCCATTCCCGCCCTCCAACAATATTCCAAAATCCTCTTACTTTGCTCTATATATTTTTTTCACATTATTTGCTACCATTAATATACTGTGTAATTCCCTTTTTTCCTGTTTTAATGTCTCTCTGGTACAAGAATATGAACTTCAGGAAGGCAGGTATTTTGCCTGTTTTGTTCATTTTTGTATCGTTGGTTTCTAGAATAACGTTTGTCACATAGTAGGTCCTCAATTACAATATGTTGGATGACTGATAGAAAAAAATCACTTTAATGTGGTGTACTTTTTTTTTTATCATAAAACATCAGAACTGGAAGAGACCTTCAAAATTTTCAGATGAACTTTATTTTCCCATAAAGTAAGGTCCAGAGGATGTAAGTGATCCGTTAAAGGTAATATAGTCAAATAAGTAAATTGGGGACTTGCCAAGAATCTTGGCTCTGGGTCAAGTGTTGTTTTGTTACATCATAATCCACTACAAAATTTTCAAGGGAAGCCATAGTTTTCTGATAGGATACTTGAAAATTTCATAATATACAATTATTATTGAAGTCCTAAGTTTATAATAAAAACATCTGTGGTGTCTTGTGATTATTTTTCACTTTTTTTAGAATAAAAGTGTATTTAAAAGTTGTTTTTTTTAACCTGTTGACTTATGAGTTTTTATTTTTATTTTTTTGACTTATGAGTTTTTAAAAGCCTGATTCATTGATGTTTCTTTTCCAATGTAATTCTAAACCTCTACGTGTAGAAATTCATGACATTCAGGAATATTAATATTTAAGCGCTTTGATGAAAAGGATTCTTTGTTCTTGCATCTTTGCACTTTACCAAGGACATGCTTCATATCGTAAAACCACTGAAATAATTGTCTAATGTGGAGTATAAGTTTTGATCATAGTATGTATGCATAAACATGCACTATGCTGAAAATACTCAATAATATCAAAAATAACTACCTAAGCATTTCTAGTCAGGTAGCAATTGTAGATAAGGTGACTAGACTTTCATTTCATCATACTGGCCTCTATTACTTGCCAAGAATTATGTTAGGTTCTGGAGATTCAAGAGCAAATCACAAATACTTAGCATACTTCCTCACAGAGCCAAGTCTAGTAGAGGAGATAACATTTAAAACAGAATTACAATAAATCAGAACCTTAGAGGCTACAAAGTAGTGGCCCATGAGTCAGCCTTTTTGGCCCTCAAAGATATTTTATTTGGCCTTCCTCATAGCTTAACAATTTTAAAAAATCAATTACTGACCTTTAAAGAATTTGGATGTTTCGTATAAAAATTCAGATTCGCTTGAAGAATCGGAAGATGGGGCAATTTAAGTTTCAGATTAGCTAGAACTGGAGTGGCGACCCTCTTTTGAAGGGACAGATGTTGTCCCGGTGATGCCTGGGGGGCCGGGGGCCGCTGCACCTGAAACCCTTGCAGAAAGCGTCACTACATAATTTGCAGAATTCGATGAAAAGTTAAAATGGGAGAGATCCTGTGCAAAAGGAGTAAACAACTTTTCTCCTTTCTTACTCGCTGGTATCTCTCAACCTGCCATGGTCGAGATTCCATTTACTCACTCGTGTCATACTCCCTTGAGCATACTGATGTACCCTTGCAGAGTCTCAGAGGTGCCCAGCCTGACCAAGGCCCTTTGGTAGGTGAGGATGAGGACAGAAAGAAGTCACTGGGCTGGGACAGGGATGGGGAAGCTGAGCAGGCCCCGGAGAACCAGGGAGGCAGAACCGTAAGCAAATCAAATCTCAAAGCTCCAGCCACAGCCCCCATTGCCCTATTGGACTCTATTTAAAACACACAGATGCAGTTTTTAGGACTGCACGATGGTGGTTACAGAGCATTACACCCAGGGCAGAGGGCTCTACTGTGCGAGAGGCCCTGTAAACCTACACTGGTCCCGTGCTCGTAAAACCAGCTCCGGCCTGGGGGACCAGAGAAGTGCCCCAGGTGTTTGAAGTCTGGGCCTGCGGAGGTAGAGATGGGCAAACCTTTGAAGGCCGAGTCGGGGAAAGTACTAACTGAGGTCTCAAAAGAGCCCGGCATGACTAGCTCATGACGGATGAGGGGAGACGAGGTGGAGGAAAATGGCAAAGCACCATGAAGAGGCAGGTCGAGGTCTGGGCACTTAGGTCTTTGGAAGATCAGCAGAAAATGTAGCAAATAAGTGAAGTATTCGATGTGACTAGTATCTAAACACAACGGCAAGTAATTCCATATGCAGACTGCTCTCGGGGTCTAAGCGTCTCTCCCCGATAGTTGTTCTGAGGCCCCAGGTTCTTTTTGACAAATTCCATCAGGAATCACTTTGCCTGCATTTGAATCCTTGCTCAGATACCTTCTCGCTCTGCGGCCTGAGAAGTATGGCTTAACTTCTGCATCTGTAAAATGGGGATAAAACCAGAACGTCTCCTACAAGCTTGCTGTGAGGAGGGAAGCGGGAATGGCAAGGCTTGGCAAGTGCTTGTCACAAAAATGGGAATGCAGCAAAGTTTGAGCAACGTGGTCTTCTTTCTTGATTCCCTCGGTATCCAAGTTGCATTTGATTTTTACCCCTCGGGGCTTCCCGCGCCTCAGCTGAGGGCAAGCTCTACGATCCAGGCTCTGTACTACGGATTTCACTAATTTCCTCCTACTCCCTCTGTTCTCCTTTTATTCAATTTCATCGACCTGTCTCCCTCCTAATGACTCACAAATGTGTACTCCCTCTTCTAAGTCCTTTATCTTGTATATTCTGTCTTTGGAAAACCAAAGAATACAGCTTGCTCAGCCCCCAGACTGTCAGAGCAGAGTGATGACTACACGTGTTCCTAGACACAGTGTCCGGCACAGGGGAGATGCTCAACAAATACATGTTGAATGAATGAGAGGCTCTTCTTCTTTGTCTTCTAACATAAATTCAGTGTCTTCCATAAACTTACTGCCATGAATTATTTTATGTATAATTGTGTTAATTAACTAATCCTTAATTATTTCAAATTTATTAGGCAGACCACTACTCCAGCCAACCTAAAATAAAATATAGGAAAGAGATTTGATTTTTTTTTTAAAAAAGCGATTTACTAGAATCTTAGATTTGTCCCTATTTGAAAGTTGGGGTACATTTTTCAGATGAGTGATCTTTGGCATAGGAAGTCATTGATGATTGGTGATAAATGAGAATTTCTTGGTAGTTACCAAACAATTGTGTTGACTGGAAGCAGCCGGATATAAAGTAAAAGGTGTGAGTGACTTCTCAGATCCCACCAGGAAATGTGAAATGCACCTCATAAGCTAAAAGAAAATTAGGAAGCAGGAAAGGACAGGAGTATCAGTAGGCAGGAAACTCTAACCAGTGGTGAGCAGACCAACTCTGTGATCCACATGGATGTTTGCCTGCCTTGTATGAGGAAGCAGCGATCACACGAAACCAGGATGGGTTCCCTGAAAAAGTCCTATCAGAGGAACTTCATCTCCTTTTTGGCAGGACTTACAGCTGGGCAGATTAGAAAAAAGTGTTCAGAGACAAGGAGTATTTGCCCTTCCACAGGGCATTTCATAGTAACCTTGTGAAAAACAGAAATGCAAGCATGCAAGAACATGGACGGGTGAATACATCACTTCTTGAACACGCATCCCAAACAGTGGTGACTCACGAGTGTAGTCCAATGCATACTTTTTTTAAATTTTTTTTAATTTTAATTTTAATTTATTATTTTTTTGTGATGTGCCTCAAGGACCTGCATTTATTTCTGCTTCCCCATCATTTTTATCTATTACTTGTGTGAATGAACAGAACGCATTTGCAAAATGTGAATAAAAGAAACTGGAGTAGGACAGTGAGTTATGATGGATGAAAGAAACAGGTATTTACTTGAGTGCTCGGAAGTATAGTAGACCGCAGCCATGGGTTTACACATCGATCTCTTCAGTAGAACTGAGAGACCATGTCTTAATCTCCTTGTGTCCCTGATATTTCACAATGTCTAGCACATAATGGTACTTAAGTATTATTTGAATCTTGAAAGCCTGAAGGGTAAGTCAAATAGCAGGATTTATGGGTATCAATGAAGTTAGTAACAAAAAAAGCACAGCTGTCAAATAGCTAATGTGACCTTAGATATCGTTAACAGAAAAATAGGTTCTAAAAGTAGGAAAGTGGCATCCCTCTGTTACTCCGTGTTTGATGCTGTTCCTTTGAAAAATGACCAGAAAGTGTCAATTCAAAAAGGACATGATGGTTGCTTTCAGACTTGTTAGACCATAATGCGGAAAAAGGAAAGTAGGTTTGTTCTGTTTGTTGCACAGAATTAGATCTGGGCCAGTGGGTAAAATTAAAGGAAACATATTTAGATCAACATCTGGAGCATGCCGTTCTAGAAAATAAAAAAAGGGTCTCTATCAGCGGAGATGTGTACCACAGGCTAGGCAAAAACTGGCACAGATACTATAGGGAGGCTTAACACAATTTAGGAGGTTTAACTACATAATCTTTAAGGGCACACTAAAATCTAAGATTCTAATATTCACTGATTTTACTTTGAATCTTCAATTTGTTATGAAATTAAAGGCATGTGGTCCCATGCATATAGTAGATGCTTAAAAGTAAGTTTAAGTGCAGGGGAAGTAAAAAAAAAAAAACATTGCTCATTAAGAAAATGTATAAATATACGTAAGCCATGTAAGTTTGAAAACGTATTCCATTATTTGTGTTCAGAATAGCAGAGGATATTTTACTTCCATCAGCACTATTTATATTAGTTCTGAAAAGAGATTTATGAAGTAAGATATATCGTAAAATCCTGGATCTAAAACAAATAAAAAGCCTTAAAATCTAGAGATTTAAAACTACTGAGTACACGGGAAAAGAAAAATGTGTGACTGGAAAAAAAAATATCTGCACGTTATAAACATTAAAAAATGGAAAAGGTAGCAACAATTCAGAAGGCCACCTGTTTAACCGTGACGTACACATATATGCCAGCAAAACAAACACGAGTGGCAGCTAAAATTTAAAAATGAAAGATGGTGATGAAGAAAGAAAAACTGTAATAGGGTTAATTTACACTATGAGATTGCAAAATATAGCCCAATATAAAACATAAGAGTCAAAACCATATGAACAGAATAAACATTCCAGAAATTGATTAGAGATATTTGTATAACATGGGGCACGTGGGTGGCTCGTTCAGTTAAGCATCTGACTCTTGATTTCGGCTCAGGTCCCGATCTCTCAGGGTCATGAGCCTGAGCCCCGCGTAGGCCTTAAGCTCATGCTGAGCCTGGAGTCTGCTTAAGAGTCTCTCTCTCTCATTTTCCTGTCCCTCTTCCCCTACTCACTCGCTTGAGCTCGCTCCCTCAAAAAAAAAAAAAAAAAAAAAAAGGTACAGACCTTAATATAGAAAGAAAAAAAAAACTGATACGAGAGAAATAATCACTAATAAATGATGTGGCAACAAATGTATAGCGGCATTCATGACATCCTACATTTCAATAAATTCTGGATGACTCAGTCATTCACTGAATCAATTCATTTATTAATCGTAGAAAGAAGAGAATGGAATCGTTTTTCCACCTCAGCTATGAGCTGGGGATAAAACTGGGGCTACTGAAGAAATAGATTTTATTAAAAAAATAATATTTTGAAATATAATATTAAATCATATAATGTCGCACGTCACTAAATTACAAAAGAATTACACAAATATTACAATAAATCGCAGATTACAATATGATGGTTTTCACCCAATGTGGTACGAAGTCAGGGAAAATATTTAAGCCTGGGAAGCCTGTGGTTAAACGGGCGTTTGTAGAGACCGCTGGTGAAAGTATCGATTGCTAGAAAGAACCACCAAATGGCTCCTACCCACTGCAATGCTGGTTTCTGCGTGACATTCTCTAACAGAAGGCACCAGAGTTCCCTGGACGATGTCTGAACGCAGGGCTGGGGCAAGGGAAATAAACGATGAACTCAGAATACCTCGTGGTGACAGAGGGGAGGGAGGTGAGTAAAGACAGTAAGGGAGTAGATAAGGGAGAAAACAAGGGGCTCACCAGCCTGTGCCCGGGGAAACGGGGTGGAAGGGCCGCTGAAACCAACCTGAAGGAGCTCCCGACGGCTGACTGCAGAACAGTGTGAGCCCAGGTGAGCATCACAGTAATATTATGAGATCATACGCTAGAGAACAAGTATTCATGAGTCCATACTGGTAGAAATAGATAATTGTATGAATGGGTATGTGCGAGAGAAGGGATATCTCTTCCTTATAAAATAATTCCACGTCTAGCAATCTAACTTAAGGGAAAATATCGGAGACGCAGCTGAAGACTTCAGCGTTCAAAGATGCCTTATGTGTTAACTGCGGCCAAATTATAATAATTAGGTTTCTAAAATAGTGGTTTCTCTTTTGACGAATTAGTTTACAGCTATTATAATCCCACTTCCAGAAGTGTTTCTCAGGAAACATCCATAATACAAGGATATGCAGGATATCAAGAAGCACATCTGTCTGTATTGACAGTGTGTTCTCCAGGCTGGTTACTCTGTGTATGTGTGTGTAAACACAGGGAATGTTAAAAATATTTATGTCTGATTGAAAGAAAAAAAAATAAAAATCATACGTAATCCTAGTTGGTTCTCCTTGCAAACTTTCTGAGTTATTATTTTTTCTAATAAAATGTAAAACTACAGGTAAATTGGGGTACCATATAATTAGTGCATGCGTATCTCAAATAGCTTCATCTGAAATAGTTTGGGGAATAGTGTAGGCAAATACATGACTTTCAGTTATTTGTTTGCTTTATTTTAGCTCAAAAAAAAAATCAACCCAATATTGATTTCTCTACTGCTTTATGTGACAAAAGTCAGAGTAGAAACTGAAAATGCTTTTTTTCCCCAACTTTAAGAAGACTATGATAAACATAAGAAGTATTTTATTAATATATTATTATGTAATAAAAGTAAATTATTAATAAATAATTAATTGAGCTGATCAATCTCACTCCAACTATGCAGTAGCATCCATGATCTATTTGAAGTATACTTGAGCACAGATTAATCTGTAAAACATCTATTTGTATATGTTAAGCATCGTTTCTTATGTACCAATGTCCTCTCCAAAACATGCACTCTACATACAATTGCTTAACATGTAAAGTGTTAACAAAAGTTTTAACTTTGAAATTATTTGACAATACGGCATTAAATCATTATTAGACTGACGTATATGTTTTTTTAATAAATTTATTTTTTATTGGTGTTCGATTTGCCTGACGTATATGTTTTATTTTACCCACTGAAAGTGAGTTATCTCCTGAAAATGTTTTAAAACATAAAAAAAGAGTGGATAAAATAAATGTGGACCGTCAATTGAAAATAAAATCACTTGGAGGGCACTTCGCTGTAATTTGACTTTAATCATCCACAAAGCCAATCAGGTTGTGAATTCTACATTGACAGCAGCTTCTATGTGGTTTTAGAGGATTTTTTTTTTTTTAGGGTTTTAGAGGATATTTAAACAATGCCTCACATCCAAAGGAAAGTGATTCATCCACTCTTCCCAAATATTTACCAACCAAATATTTTTTTTTACTTTTTAAAATGTAATTTTGATGCCGCAGATACAATCTTCTGATGAAATACAAGATATAGGTAAAATATATGATTTCATATATTCTGGAACTCTGTTCTGGTGAATGAGAAGTTTCAGGGAACATCAAAACAAATGTGGCAAAATACAGTACCCCTCATCTTATTTCTGCTAAAAAAGTATTATGCCTTGAAAACCCATCAATGGACAGAACAAGCCACTAGAATGGATTTTGCTTCCTTACCTCATTTTCCAGAGCTCAGCATAGTGTCTGGCTTGCAGTTGATCGTCAATAAGTGTTCAAATAAAGAAAATTGAAGTATACTACGCCTTTGTGACATAAGTTATGACAAGCTTTCATTCTGATTCATGTAAAAGTTATGGAGCTGACACAGAACCTGACATTAGATCCATTAACTAATAAAACTGATACTATTAAAAAAAGAGAAGATCCCTGTGTATATTCAGACCAAGTAGGTATAAACATACAGAATATTAGTATAACCTTTCCCATGTGAATGTATCACAGAAGATGAGGACCACTTACACTAAGAAAACTTTAGAAAGTCATAGTTTCCAAACATGATTTAGAAACAGTCCTACTGTTAATCTAGTGATGAAAGATTGATGTTTCAACGTAATTAAACTCTTGATGAAAATGTAATGAAAAATCAGGAAAACATAAATTTAATTTTACAAGTGTCCATATTTTCGTCTGACTCATTTTTTTTTTTTTAAGTAAAAGGAAATCAGATTTCAGAGGAAGAGAGTAGAGTAACACCGTTTAGTGTCTCCAAATGCTTAGGATACCAAAAGGGCCGGGACAACTTTCACAGCAGATCTTAACCATTGTAAAGAAATCAGACATCTGTCTAGCTTTTTGTTGTCAAATTAACAAAAAACAAAATTGACAAGAAAGCCATTTATAGGGACACAACCATAGTTAAACTTTTGATTATATTTTCTAGGAAAGCTTGTAATAAGCCATACTTTTGAAAGTATGTGTCCGCGTGTCTGCATATGCACACGTAAGCTTGTGTGCATACATGTATCCATGGAAACCTAGACTTACTAATATATATTCTTCTTATATGGAACCAAGCCTTCTTACGTGTTTTTGCGATAATTTGCAAAAATATTCCCCAGAATAAGGCAAAAGGCATTTTATCATATTGCATTCTTTTCAGGATTATGCGATACTGTGTCCTGACATCTCTAGAAGTTTCTAGGAGTTTCGAGAGAAGATACTTGTTTTGCTTCCTAATAAGAATTTGGAGGAATGTGTCAAAGTAGATTAAACTATGTCAGAGTCTTTAAAAGAAAACACTGTTCTTCTTTCAAGAAGGTTTTTATGGAGCAAAAGGAAAAAAAAAAGAGCATTGCAAGCAGTTCTGAAAACACAACTGAGATGCAATTTGATAAATAGCCTTCTATCATCTAGGCCAGAGCGGTGGAAAAGCATGCTATCAGCACTTTCATCAAAGGCACGATTGACTCCTCTTTTTCTATCTCATTTTATCATGACTTTCTCATTTTGTTTACTCAGTCAGTGATTGGGAAAAAAAATGACTCCTTACCCCTTGGATGAGCTGTGATGGGGTCCACTGGAGAAGCGTCCTTTTCTCCGTCTTTGCTGCTGCCACCGCCGCCTTCACTGGCACCATCTCTTGCAATCAGTTTATCCACCATGTCGATAATGCAGTTCAGGCTCTTCCCCACGTTGGCCCACACCCTATCCTGAAAAGAACATGAGTATCACTACACAATTTCATTGCAAACACAAGATAAGGCAAAATCCGACAAATCCATCTCTGGGAAGCAGGCAGAGGACCAACCAATCATAAGGATGCAGGCTCAGTGACTAATTCTGATACTTCCATTACTTTGGCCAGACTATGACTATACAAGAAGAAATCTGTTTTCTCTTAAGAAAGCAAAATTTAAATGCTATGATCTTTTTCTTTAATTCATCATTTTTTTCTAAGTCATAAAGTAATGATTAACTGCTGTACAATATTAATCCATAATTGAGCACTTATGATATCTTAAATGGGACCTATCTATTTTCCTTATCAACACCCAGTAAGAAAGCAAAGACACACCAATGTTTTTAAAGAAGAGCTATAATTTGCACTCAAAATTCTCGTTTTTCCTTTTTATTGTGATAATGTACATAACATTATCACTTAACCATTTTTAGGCTTACAGTTCAAGGGTATTAAGCACATTTACATTATTATACAACCATCACCATCACCCATCTAGAATTTTTCATCTTCCCAAACTGAAACTTTTACCCTTTAAAAATGAACTACTCATTCTCCTCTCCCCGCCACGGGGCAACCATCATGGTGCTTTCTATCTCTATGAATTTCACTGCTCCAGGTAACAGAAGTTCTTAAAGTGTGGTCTTCACATCACCCCTAACAGAATGACCCAGAGAATTAAAACGCAGATCGTTGGCTCCTACTAAGTCAAATAGAACCACTAGGAAGGAGGCACAGTACGCTGAGACTTTGACAAGCTCTTCAGGTGCTTCTGACCACTCCAAATCTGAGAACTTGTTATTTCCTATGAAAACCTTTAAATACAATTATCATTATGGTAGCCTCTCACCCCTAGCTTCCCTTTTTGTCCTCTCTCCACATCATTTAGATGGAGTCACAGACTCCCCATCTGTGACTGTGGTTAATTTTTTATGTTGACTTGATTGGATCACAGGATGTCCAGACACTTGGCTAAACATTATTTATAGGGGTTTCTGGATGAAATTAACATTTGAATTGGTGGACTCATAAAACAGTTTGTCTTCCCCAGTGTGGGTGGGCATCATTCAATCCATCGATGGCCTGATAGAAAAAAAAAATGTAGAGAAAGTCAAAATGTGATCCCTCTTGCCTGGTTGACTGAATCAGGACATTGATCTTCTGCCCTCAGTGCTCCTGGTTCTTAGACTTTCAGATCTGGGCTGGAATATCCACCCCTGGTTCCTCTGGTTCTAAGGCCCATAGACTCAGCCTGAATTACACCACCAGCTTCCGTGGGTCTTCGGCTTGCAGATGGCAGATCATGGGACTTCTCAGCCTCCAAAATTATGTGAGACAATTCCCTGTAATAAATACTATATATCTTCTTGGTTCTGTTTCTCTGAAGGACCCTAATACACCTATTAGGTGTATCTTATGTATCACATAAGAACCAAATGGATTTATGATGCTTTTCTTGCATCTTTCTCTGCAACAGATAGCTCTGAAATAGCTCTTAATGTAAAGGTAATAGTCAAGTACAGTAATTCCTTAGTAGTTTATATATTTTTATCGAATGTGTATTTTTTAACCCAAGTTAATTTTACTAAGTTTATAAACATAGAAACTCATTTTGGGTAAGATAAATCTAGGAAGAAAGAACAAGAATTGAGCTTAGATTATTTGATGGCTGTCTTATAAAGACTAAGTTAACTGAATAATGTAACAGATATGGGAGTTTACAGATAATGCACACTACAGCTGAAGAGGAAAAGTATAACATTCAAGGTTTAAAAAGTTAAGTTAAAAATCCACCTACATGATGGTGGATGGGAAAACCACCTCATTTCTGGGGAACCACAGTTGGTTCCTCTACAGTTTGGAATGCCCTGCCTACCTCACCATGCTGCAGTGGGAGCCAAATAACATCACCTCTATGAACGTGCTTGGAAAATTACTACAATTTGGCAAAACCACATCCTCTTCTTGCTGGCTGTCCTAAATGAATCAAACTTGCTTTTCATCACCTTTTAATTCTGGGTGTTAAATATGTTATCAATCACAAAAATTTTTCCCCTAAAGGCAGACTTATTCTACCAAAAATTAAAAGCACTTCCCCTCTAAGGGAAACTAAGACACCAATCACATCCATAAATTGCTTTATGCCCTGCCTACTGTCAAGGAAAATAGGGTGGGGGCACCTCTGAGCTATGGTGCAGGAGACCTAGGGAAGCTCGCTTCTTCTGGGACAAAGTGTGGAGAAAGGTAAGCAAACTGAGGTCCCGACATCACTCCTTGGGATTTGGTAAGGAGCTTACTTTTCAGACCACGATAACCAACTGACGGCCCCCATCCTGAACATCCCTTAATTGCCACCAACCACTGCATCTTTAAAGCTATTAAATGGAAAAATGAAGCAGCTCTCCGGCTAACACTGGGCATAAACTCTGTTACTGAGGAAAAAAAGGGGAGGGATTAGTCTTAATTTTCCAGATTAGCTTTGTACATGAGATAAATTTTCAATTCTCTTTCTGTTGTCCATGTTGAGAGGAACCTTCTATTTTGATCAAAAATCAAGTCGTATTGCATGCTGCCTTTCTTATATAAAGTAATATACGGGGTTAACCAACTTCTCTTAATTACATCTCCAAAGACCAGAATATAAGAATATAAAAAAGGATAATTTTACATTCTTACCCTATATATTGCTCTTCCTTTATACTTTGCGTTATAGGATTATACTCACAGAAAAAGTAATCTTTGCAGACAGAGAAGAGACCTTTATTGGCATGTGGTGCAGAGTGAGGTATGTTCATTGGATGAGACCAACAACCATATGGTAAGAGGTTGGGTGGTAAATAGTAGAAAAATACTTAAGTCATTAAACACTTAGAGGACACACAATCTGGGAGGATGCTCGTTGGAGGTGAGAAATTGAGCAGTGTCTTATGCAAGATGAATACATGATTCATATATAATCAGATTTTTTATTGAAGACACACTCAGCAGGAGGCCCCGAGCAGACTCAAGCTGGTCTTTATCTCTTGGGAAGAAGACCCTGCCTAGCTGGAGGGGAGAGAATGCTATTTGGTTAGTCAATGCTTCTTCTTCCTTTATGGCATCTACAAAGTAGATTAAAGTTATCGATTTAGACCATTGTCTCTAATGCTAGTTTATGAGTTGAGGGCTGTGTCGTCACTACATTGCACAGGGCCTGGAAAGGCAGAGAGAGAGAGAGAGAAATGGAGAAAAGGAGAGAGGAGAAGGGAGATGACTCCAACCCAGAGGCAGGTTGAGAGCTGCTATTTGCATTCACCTGGCATATGAAATTAGTTAATTTACCTTCAAAAACACCACATAAGATCGACATTATGGACTCAGTCTTTAGAGGTGAGGAGACTTCAGGTAAGAGATGTTGAATAACATTCCACGTTAAAATGGGTATAACTAAATTAGAAATTCTATTTGGTTTCAAAGATTTGATTCCTTCCCCTATGATTTCCCATGGAATTGTAGGAATTCCGCTTAAGTGAGATTCCTAGGACTCTGGGGACAAGCTGGACAGAGGAAGATCAGGAGAAGGAGCCACAGAAAGGTTCAAGAAAAGGCGTGTGTCACCTCACATGAGCAAGAGTAGGTGTCAGTTACCTGAGACTTGGAAAATGAATCTAATGGCAAATCACTAGGACGGGATTCTGAAAAGGATGGGCTGGTCACATTGTACCCTTAAGTCTGAAATCAAGAGGGCCATACAATCAAGGATGGAACAATCACTTGGCGAAAAGGTCAATGAGCCTGGCTCAAAGGATGTCCGTGGCTAACATGAACAGAGGACAGTGTCAGCATCAAAACCCAAACTATGTGTCGGGGATGTAAAATAAGGAATGGGTTATAGGGAGAGAAGATAATTCAATTTCTAGGAGAAAATTAATGATTATTCTTAGCAAAATCATTATTTTGAAATTAGGATGCCAAAAATGGGTAGGCGATATTCTTGTAGGGAAATCCTGAATATCTGATTTCTCTCGTAAACTGTTTTCTATAATATCTATGTGAAAGCATTCAGACAAAGGGAAATTATCAGCAAAAATGCATTCTAGTTCTAATGATTTTCACTCATGAGGACAGTCCATGTAGGAGCTTCTTTTTGCTTAGATTGTTGGAATGACTGGGGCCTACTCCATTGTCTTCCCTACTGAAATCACACAGTTCATCTCAGATGGCTCTCATGAAGAGAGAAGTCTGGTTAGCTGAGCAAAGACAATGGAGGCATAAGAATGTGGCGTAGTACGTGGAGCTTCCAGCCTTCCCCTTCTTCGATCAGGGATATTACTCTAGACCCAAGTTTTCAAATCACAGCAAATCAAACCAAAACCGAAATCAAAGCAACACAACAGCGCATCAGAGAAACAGATTGCTAGGCCTTCCTGCTCCATGCCCCCCCCACCCCTTCGCCCTGAAATAGCAGTCATTATCCTGGTGTGTCTCCTGTCGAAATACGTAATGGAAAATTGGTGGGTTAAAATCTAACTTTTATCACATAGAGCCCATATGGTGTCCTTGACCTTAATGGAGGCTTTAGATAATCCAACTTCTTGGAGGTGAAGGACTATATAAACTATTTCTCGGCAATGAGCGACCAAGGTCAATGGGAATTAGTAGCAATATTTATTCTATCTGAGTCAGGTATAATTTTGGTCCTTATTTATTTCTGGGTTAAGACCTAAGGTATCATGCACATCAAGCCCAGTGGCAATAGATATACAAATATAATGGATATACCAGTCAGTAGTTGGGGGGACTTTGGACCCGGCAAAGTGAGCCATGAGGGCAGGGGACATGTTGGTTATTCAGCATTGCCACACATTTATGAGATTGGTTCCATCGAGAGAAATCCTGACTCCTTTAGTTAATTTTTTTTTTTTTTTTTTTTTTTTTTTTTTTTTTTTACGAGTTCAGCAATGCTTAGCTGATCCCAATTTTTCTGGAGCC